AATATGTCCTATGTATATACGTTTCTGGATGTACTGCACATATGAAATGCGTATGTATACCGGATGTACTATGGATGTCCAATATGGGTATATCCGTCTTTGTATATCCTACGTATATGCGTTTTTTGATCTTTTACGTATATCCATATGTGTACGTACATGAAACATATTACGGATGTTGACTATTTGTATATTCGATTTAGTATGTCCTATGTATATACGTTTCTGGAAGTATTGCACATCAAATGCGTATCAAATGGGTATGTATAATGGATGTACTATGGATGTCCAATATGAGTATATCCGTTTTTGTATATCCTACATATGTTAGTTTTTGGAGCTGTTATATATATCCATATTTGTTTGTACATAAGATGTACTGTGGACATTTAATTCACGTATATATGTTTCTGGACATCCTATGTATATACACGAGATTCAATAGACGTACTTTTAATTTTACGGATATCCTATGCATATTCAGAGGATGTTCTGTGTTGACTGGGATGTCATTGCTGTTTTTAATTTTCATAATTTCTAAAATTAATTTAAATTAATTTTTTAGAATGTTTAAAGCTGTCCGAATTGCGAGATTTTTGCAATGAGCATATTCTCGATAAACTTATGTAATTATCTTCTTATTACAGATTATAAAAATAAATTCTATCCAGTTGTATGTATATGAAACAATAAGATAATACATATTTGTATTTATGTATTTGTACTTATGATGTTTTACATCTCAAGTATTTGTTGATCTATAACAGATATTCCACACTACAGTAAACTTTCCAAGCGTTGAATTATAAATTTTTTTGTTATATTTTTTAAAGCTTCTTGAATATTTATAGTGGCAATCAAATTAATGTATGTATGTAAGCAACAACAAATATCAATTACATAATTATTGTAATTACTTTCTTGTTTCATCATCAGAAAATTCAAGAGTTTGAAAATCAGAAATGTGCATTGTGCCAAGAAATAGTACACTGATCTTCATCATTAGTAAAATCAATATCTTATCAATATTTTCTGTTATAGAGAACAATGAAACATTTTACAAAATTGCTCACATTATCACTTACTATGCTAACTAATTATTTCCTTTTTAAATTGAATGATTTGTATTTCAATAAGCAGATATTCTGTTTCTTGATGTATATATGAAACTTCAATTTTCTTATATCCTAACAGAAGAACATGTACTTAAATTTTTATTTATATAATAGCATATTACTCCTATATATACCTTTTTTAATTATTACACCATATATCTACTGTGGCACAAACATAATTAACTTGACTTAATATTTGTTGTAATTTATTTAAGATTTGCTTCTTTCTTCTTTTAAATAACATTTTAGTCGTATTGTTTTTCGGCAAAGTGGTTTAAGATCATGACTAAATATTAGATTTTTAAGTGATTATTTTTTAACTGTGAGAATAGGTATTATTTTTTTACAATATATTTATACATTAGCTTATTAATCTAAAAATGAGAAATACAGTTAAAAAAATTAACAATACAGTTTAAAAAATATATTTATTATATACATTATTTTGGGGTGTTTTGTCCAATCTATACATTTATAAATTATAATATCGACAAATGTAAATATAGTATAATTTTAAAATCTATATTTTATTATTTTTTAATTTTTTTAATTTTTTTGATTATTCTTACTTTTATAAGTTTTTATAGTGAATATTACTGATTTATATAAATAAATTATAATGATAACAGTTTATTTAAAAAAACATAAATGACCTTCAAATAAAGTTAAAAATTGCTTTAAAAAAAAGTTATAGAACTAACTTCTTTCCTCCACGAAATATTGAGTAATTTCATTCTTTATCTTTAATTTCTGTTTTTAAAGATGAGTTGGAAAACTTACAAGCGGAGATTGCGACGTAGGACTGAAAAAGAAATATCTAAAAGATTAAAAGTTAACGAGATCATGAGCAAAGTTAATTTAAGATATGTTGCAACAAGTAACACGGATAGTGAATCTTCTGATTGCAATCTCTATGTCAACAATATAGATGAGTGTGAAAGGGGAAATGTGGAACAGGAGCCTGTGTCACATAATGGTGCTTCATCAAGTGAAGATGAAATCAATGATAGAAATGACTCATTACCAAGTATCAGCAATGATGAAAGTAATGATGATTGTTCTCATATAGATTTTGTCGAGAATAATGATGAGAGAAATGTTTTAGAGTTTGAAAATGATGCTCAAAAAGAAGAATATATTATTGAAACTATTCGTGAGTGGGCATTGGAAGCAGGATATTTATTTATGAAAAAATTGAATAATCTTCTCAATAGACTTTCTGTAGTTTTTCCACAAATTCCCAGAAATTATAAGACACTACTTCGTACTCCTGTTCATATTAATGTAATTAAATTTGACGATGGATGTAAATTTTGGTACAAAAGTATTTTGGCTAATCTGAATGCTATGGATATGAGAGAGTATCTTCAAAGATATAACTGTATCAAGATTGATGTAAACGTAGATGGTTTACCTTTATTTCAAAGTTCGAAGAAGAAATTCTGGTCAATTTTGGGTCATCTTATTGGTACCGAGAATGAGCCATTCATTATTGCTTTATATCTAGGCAAGCACGATCCTAAGAATTCGGCAGAATTCTTGAATGGCTTTGTTAATGAGGTTGAAAATTTGCAAAAAAATGGATACATTTACAATGGAGTAGCGTACAAGTTTGAAATTCAAAATTATATACTTGATGCACCCGCTCGATCACTAGTGAAATGCACTATAGGTCATGCTGGCTATGCATCATGTGAAAAATATATTGTTCTTGGCCAACATGTTGATGGAAGAAGAACTTTCGTACGACTTGATAAACCTCTAAAAACGGATCAGTCTTTTTATAACATGAGTCAGCGATTTCATCATACTGGTGTGTCTATTCTGTTGAGAATTGCTGGTATGATATCTCAGTTCCATTTTGATCCAATGCATTTAATTTGGCAAGGAGTTTGGAAAAGATTGCTTAAGGCATGGATCATATGGAGTGGGCCTTGGCAATTGGATGTCAATGCAATCCGCGACATATCTGCTATTCTTGCAAATTATTTGTCTCAAACATGTCCACAAGATTTTGCTAGGCCTCCAAGACCATTGACAGAATGGAACCTGTACAAGGCTACTGAGCTCCGACGAATGTGTCTCTATGATGGCATTCTTGTATTTAAAAGATATCTTCATGAAAATGTATATAAATATTTTCTTTTATTGCATTCTGCTCTTTATATTCTCTCTAGTCCAATATTGGTTCGTTCAATTTTAGAAACTGCCAATGAATTATTACGGCTTTTTATACGCCATTCTATCAATATTTATGGACAGAGGTTTGTAGTATATAATGTCCATGCCCTCTGCCATTTGACCGCTGAATGTGCCGCACATGGACAGCTGGAAAACTTCAGTGCTTTTAAGTTTGAAAATAAGTTGAAATCTCTTAAGTCAATTCTTCGATCAGGCTATCAACCATTGCAGCAAGCAGCTCATAGAGACTTTGAAAGGTCTGCACGTGTTACTGTCCGTCTACCTCCTATTGATAAGCATGTTACTCTTTTTCAAAAGCACGGAGATCTAAATAAAGTCATGATTGGTACGCATTTTAAACGATTATCCATTGGTAAAATATTATTCCAATTAGGAAAAAAAGATTCGTGTTTTCGAACTATTGGTGGAGACATCGTTGTATTAAAGAACATTGTTCAGAATAAAAATGGCATTTTTATGATTAGAAATAGATTTCTTAATGTTGAGAATTTCTACACATATCCTTTAGATTCATCGATTTTAGGCATTGTTCGTGTATCTGAGAAAGAACATGTTAGAAGAAGTTTTGTTTTGACAGAGGTTGAGTCAAAATGTTGGCTAATGTCAGATGGTGATGCATTTCTGTGTGTTCCTTTGTTGCATACAGTGCCCTTATTTTAAGTACTGCAGTATTCTGTAAATTATTCCTGCTACTACTGTATTTGTATCTATGTATCTATTTAGAGTTTTTAGGATATTTAAGATTACAATTTTCCTACATTATTTTATCTCTTACTTATTTCTGTCTTTCTTTGTTTTTTTCCCTCCTCTTTGCTTTTTTCCCTTCTCTCTTTCCTCTTTCGCACGCACGCACGCACGCACGCACGCACGCACGCACGCACGCACGCACGCACGCACGCACGCTACGCACTTACTTTTTTTATTTCCTTGTTACTATTTTTTCTTCTTCTTATTTTTTTTTATTATCTTTTTCCATCATTTTTCTTCTTTTTCTCCTCTAACAACCATCCTTTCTGCTGTCACTGCATATCTATATAATTTTCTATGTATTGTCTTTTTGTTAGTTTGTTGTTATCAAATTTATCAAGGAAACAGAAAATGAATCAGATGACACAATTTTTGAAGTGGGCCTTGCCAAATGGATTGTTGACTTAAACGATGACATGATGGGCACGACAAAATGGCCTCCTTCTTCCAAAAATATTGGAAAACTTAATAAGAAAAGAAGCTTCTGCAGATCCAAATTGGCCAGTAAACTATGTTGAGGTGATAAAGTATTTTGGTAAGTTTGGTTAGAAGTTAATTCTCGTAGTAAATCATAATAATAATTTTAATCGAATCATTATTGCTTTACATCTAGACACTATGGAAAAAGCTAGAGAGATGCTGAAAAAATTGGTGGATGAAAGACTAACTTCTTACGAGACTGAAGGAGAATTGGGTCGTGGTAAAAGGAAGAGACGAGCATCTATTATATATACTGATGATGAGGATTCAGATTCAGATGTTCCAGAACACGACTCAGATTCGGTTCAACATAAAAAAATTGGAAAGTTTGGCAGGTCAAAAAAGATAATTCAAGATATACAGACACCACCACCGTTCTTCTTTCAACATAAAACTGGTAGCATAAGCCCAGATCAAAGTAACAGGAACAGAAAAAGTCATCACAAAACTGATAGCATGAACCCAAATAAGAATGACAAAAACAAAAAAATTATTGTGACTGTGGCACACGAAAACACAAAAACTGCTTTATCTTTAAGGGAAAAAATCAAAAGTCTACAAACTGAACGGCAAGGATTTCTTCAAAAACTAAAAGAAGAGAACAAAAATACTCTTAAGAATCAAAAGAATGCAACTGTTTCTCAGTTTAATATATATGTCAAAAGTCCTTTGCAACAGAAAAATGTCACATATGAGGGAAAAGCCAATAGTATGAGAGATGAGAAGGAAAATGTAATTGATGAGTGTGATGCTGAGTCCAACCTTGAAATTTCTTCTGAATCGCAAAATTCTTTTAAGAACTCAAGCTCAAGAGACACAGAAGTTCGTCCGAGTTATTCTACACATTTGTCTCCATCCTGTCTGTACAGGATTAATCCTAAAAGTTCTAATTCAGTCCATCGTCGTCAGCTATTTAGTAGCCAAAAAATATCACAAGATACTAATGATTCTGAGAGTCTTTCTTTTGGTAATTACGTTATGATCATTTGTTGGTTTTGTTTAATTTTTATATTAATTATATATTATTTAATTTCAGATATCAATAAGAGCATTAGAGAAATAAAATCTCTATGCAAAACAACACTTGTGCGAGTGGAAGAACTAAATAGTAAAGTTGATGTCACAATTATGAATCAGACTCGACTGAATCGGTCTGTTCTTCCAGCTGAAAAGAGAATTATGCGTCCGCCAGATCTCCCGGCTCTTCCCCTTTATACAGAGGATGGTCTGAAAGCTATGGAGAGATTTTTGGAAGACGACTCTAATTTGTCAGCAATGGTAAGTTTATGAATGTTTTCTATTGATTTTTCACGTGTAATGTAGAATCCGATCTCTTTATACAGATATATTCGAAAATGATGATAATTTTCTGATTTTTTATATTTGTCTTCTATATATTTAATTGAAATTTTATTGTTTTATATAATCAAGCAAACTGTAAATGTGATTGTTATGATTTTAGGTTCATTACTTGGCTTTATTTTCCTTTAATAAAATTGAAGGAAAAGCAGCTGCTCAAGTTATGACAAAGTTGATATCTAATGCACTAGCCTGTTCCTACAATTTTAAAGGTACTGAGGGAAGTGGAAAGAAAGGTTTTCAAAATTTGCATCTTTGGGAGGTAGTTCAAGGTATGCATTTGAAGATTCTTGAAGATTATTGAATATTTGAAGATTGACATTTTTCTGTTTTTTTCTGTTAATTTGGAAAAGTAAAGTATTTCTACAATTTTCTTTTACTGTTTATATACAATATGGTTGTAACCATATGGAAATTCAATATATGTATTTTCAATCATTCAGTCTTGAAATATCAAATATTATTCTTTGATGTAAATATATCAGTTTGATTTTATCATTGCTTTTCTAAATTATGTCATGAAAGACTATATGCTTGTAGCCTGTAAACTCTATTGGTATTTATTAGCCAAAAATTTAATTATATGTTGTATATTTTAGGAGTGATACAAATACGATTTCCTGAAAGTGATCTCTCAGATACTAAAGAGTCTGTAATGTCCTGGTTGCGAAATGCCCCTTGGCGGAAGCAAGAAATAGGATCCGAGAGTGGGAAGAGAAAGAGCGACAGTTCTCGCCAAAGAAACAGCCCTAAATAAAAACAAGAAGATAAGAAGATAAGTTTTTAAATGTTACCTGTAACATGTGATATTTTTTGTCGGTTGTGATATAGGGTTATGACATAAGTTGTCCATTAATGATAAAATAATAATAATTGTGATGCCATTAGTTATTTAAGGCGCCCAACGCAAATATAAAATAAGTCGTTTTTATTTTTAAATTTTCCGAGATTTACTAATGCACTATTTATACGAAATTTTATTAGTTTTGTTTGTTGGTTTTATTTGATGCTAGCTTAATGTTACACAAGCCACTCTAATTACTTTTTGTGCAATTATAAACTTAACTTATATATTTAACAAAAATTGCAACTCTTGTGCGTACTACTTTTTCATTAGACACAAAACACAAAAGTCAACAATTTGGAACACTTTGGTGCTGAAATATTTATAATTTGCATGAGAGTCGCCAATGATGCGCAATTGGCAAAATAAGCTTTTATGAAGCGAAGACCTTAGCTATAATTTTATAAGTCATTATTTTTTTCGAAAGATTGGTTTACTCCAAATGGAGATATGTTATTATACTAACTTTTCATTGAAAAGCGCTGTAATATTCAAATACGTTAATTTTTTAATAACAAAGAGTAAAGATTTTGCAAGTTTTGTCTTATTGAAATTTTTTAAAGTCAAAAGTTTTTCTAATTTTTGGAGAAATGCACATTTTTTATTGAGCGATGTTGTTTTGTAGGAAAAAGGAACTTTTGATTTAAAGAAACTATCTTTAAAAAAAAAATAGTTTTTTTTTGTTAGAATCAATTCATTATTCGCTAATATATAGACTATGACTTATTTTCTAAAACAATGATTAAAATAACGAAATACAAAATTTCAGTTAATTTTTAAGTATTATTATATAGACTAATTTATTATATACCTATATTTTAATGATTAAAGCAATTGTTTTTATTGTCTAAAATAAATATTGATTCTGTCTAACTATATATATATTAAATTTAATTATTTCCCGTAATATTTATCTGCTCAATAGAAATCGACATCGACTAGACGTCAATTACGCAGTCGATAAAACATCGAAACGAGAGACAAAAACAGATCGATGTCGATGTCAACTTCGATCCCATTTCGAACCCGCATATCGACGTCAATTTGATGTCGGATCGACACTTCATTTCTCACTGGGTTATGCTCATTACTATTACTCATTACATTATTACTTACATTATTCTTATTTTTATGATATCTTATATTCTTAAATTAATATTTTTCTTGTTCAAATATTCATTTTTTTAAATTTTTATTTTGGTTTTATTAATTTCTATTTTTAGTTCATTTATCTCTTTTTTATGTTGTGTTTCAATTTCGTTTAATTGTTTTAAATGGTCTTCTCTTATTTTACTTATGTTTTCTTCATGTTTTAGTTTTACAACCGCTAAAGTTTGCTCTTGCTTCATCACTTCTTTAATACGTTGTGCTCGTAAATTTTCTTCTGTGTCTGATAATTCTTGGTTTATATATTTCCTCTTTCTGCTTTGTGCTATATCTGTGCCAGATTGTTTATATTTTCTGGAAGGTGTATCTAAAATAAAAAAGTAGTTACTATTATAATTTGTATCTAAAGAAATATTAATATATCATAACATATAACTTATATAATGTATACCTTGCGAATGCTGAGCAATTGTTATATTGTTCTCATCACTGATAACACGTTTTTTGTTTGCATTGTCTATTTTCTTTATATTTTTATTGGTAGATATATTGCATTCGTGTTTATCTGAATCAGAATTGACTTGCGGTATGTCATTTCTTGAAGATTTTTTGGTCGCTGAATTTAAGTCTAGCTCAGAATTTATCTATCACGTCACATTTCCGAGAAAATTGGGATAAAATTTTCTTAACAATATTATTACAAATATGGCCAAAATCATCATTTTTTTATCTATATTACCTCAATTTTTTCAAAAATGTGACGTGATAAAATTTTCCTGAGCTCAGATTCAAATTCAGCGACCAAAACTCTTCTAGAAATGACATACCGCAAGCCAAAGACAAAAAAAAACAAATTTTATTGAACAGTGTTATATTTTACAATATTATATTTTAAATTATAGTTCTTACCTCTTGACAGATTAGTGTAGATTGATTATACTCTTCACATATTTCATTCCATGCGACATCTTTGTCTTTTAATGTAGTGGCCTTACTTTTCTTTAACTCTACTACATTTTTGTATTTCTCCAGTATTTGTAAAAATACTTTTCTTTCCATTAAAGTATAATATTTATTTTTAGACGCAGGCTTCTCTTTGCATGACATTCTATAAATAATATTATATTTTATATTATGGGCGGTATTCATAGTCCGTTCTTATATTCAAGATCGTCTTAAGAACGAACTTATATTCGCTCTCTTCGTCAGACACAATCTATGTGTGACGAAGAGAGCGAATATAAGTCCGTGCTTAAGACGATTTTAAATATAAGAACGGACTATGAATACCGCCCTATAAGGACCTTATTCTATAACCGTTACCAATAACTGTAAGCTCTGTATGTAATCGCTGCGCATGTTTTTTAACATATAAAAAACTATGCGCAACAATTACATACGGAGTTTATCGGTAGCTATTAAAATATAATAAAAATATATAATCTTAAGATTCAAAATTTAAAAATGAATTGTTTTTTAAGTATTTATTCCTTACCTAATATTTCTATATTTTATTGTAAAATTTTTTCATGTGGTAATGCTTTTCTAGTAAGCCAAAAACTTTATAAAATTTAGTGCAACTTCTGTAACCTCTTATGTGTGTGTGTGTCTGAGTATCACAATGTGTCATATATTACATACGTAATATAATAATATAAATATATAGTAAGTGTAAACTTTAATTCTAATGAATTTCCAGATTTAATTCTGGAGGGTCATTAGAATTAAAGTTTACACCTATTTATCATATATTTGGCACATTGTGATACTCAGACATAAAAGGTTAAAGAAGTCGCACTGAATTTTATGAAGTTTTTGGCTTGATAGAAAAACAATACCTTATGAAAAAAAATTTTATAATGAAATATACCCAGCAAACATACGATATCCTATGTATATACATGAAATATCCATAATGTGAAAAAAATGTACTGTATATACTATGTACATACGCTGATGTAGATACATTTGTGGATATACATAAGATATCTTATAGATATACATAGAATGTATATTCGAACGAGATCGCTGCCTGTTTATACATAGAATATACCTCGTGTACATTTCATGTATATACATCAAACGTATATACATACGATATACGCTGAGGTCAGTGATGCGATATCTACTACCGGGCTCGCGGCTCTCTAATAGACAAGGCATACTATGCTACTGAGCCATCATGCTTGCCACCTCCGTGTGATGAGTTTATATAGCATTTCAAGCAGCAAACCGAGCAACGTACAATGCATCGGTCAGAATACACAAAAGCAGGCATGAAAATCGTGCATCGTGTGATTACGGCTTAAGGCACTATAAACGTGAGTATTCTACCGTCTGCTCTGGTCTCCGCCATTTCTGTTTCGTTCCCCCACTCCTTGCCCTCTCGCCTCTATCGCTGAGCTGACAAGTTTATGATGATTAGGTTATGGTTTCTAAGCTGCTCGAACTCTATATTTGCGTGTATCCGACTGTGAACAAAAAAAAAGATAAATGCCTTGCTGCGTTGCGGTCAATTGTACCAATAGAACAGAAAAAGGTGTTCGAGTATTTGCATTTCCTGTGGATGATATTCGTCGACAGCAATGGATACGTAATCTCCGCAGAGAGTCTTGGACACCAACCAAATATTCGCGCCTCTGTGAAGTAAGTTTATTCTCTTAAATTTCCAATTTACGTAGCTTTTTTTGTTTGTTTAGGATCATGGATCGTTTTTTTAAGTGTAGTTTAGATTTGTCACCGTTTGAAATTACATAAATATGAATAACTGTAATCAATAAAGACATTTATCTTATAAGCAATTTTTTTATTTCAGAAACATTTTGAAGAATCACAGTTTGAGATTGATCGAGCAGATAATTGGCGAAAATTAAAATCAAACGCCATACCAACACTTTTCGATATACCTGATCCACCTGCAATGAATAAAAATGAAACAGATGAACAAATACAAATGCCACTGCTGAGAAAGACGTAAGTTTCTATGATACATTACAGTAAGATAAAAGAAATGACATGTATTAATTTGTTTGTTTATTTATTCATTTATTTATTATTATTATATTTATGGGCGTGACTAATACTCTTGTACACATCGTACGAGTGATTAAATATAAACATAAGATTAATGAAAAAATTTACGTCTTTCTCAGCAATGGCATTTGTATTTGGTTCATCTGTTTCATTTTTATTAATTGCAGGTGGATCAGGTATATCGAAAAGTGTTGGTATAGCGTTTGGTTTTAATTTTCGCCAATTATCTGCAGTCTCAAACTGTAATTCTTCAAAATGTTTCTGAAATAAAAAAACTGCTTATAAGATAAATGTCCTTATTGATTACAGTTATTCATATTTATGTCATTTCAAACGGTGACAAATCTAAACTACACTTAAAAAAACGATCCATGATTCTAAACAAACAGAAAAAGTACGTAAATTAGAAATTTAAGAGAATAAACTTACTTCACAGAAGCACGATGATTTGGTTGGTGTACAAGACTCTCTTTTTGTTCACATTCGGATAATCAAAATACACGTAAACACAGAGTTCGAGCAGCTTAGAAACCATAACCTAATTATCATAAACTTGTCAGCTCAGTGACAGAGGCATGAGGGCAAGGAGTGGGGGAACGGAACAGAAATGGCGGAGACCAGAGCAGACGGTAGAATACCTACATCTTTAGTGCTTTAATTAAAGACTCTCTAGTCTTCTAAGGGCGGTATTCATAGTCCGTTCTTATATTCAAAATCGTCTTAAGCACGGACTTATATTCGCTCTCTTCGTCACACATAGATTGTGTCTGACGAAAAGAGCGAATATAAGTTCGTGCTTAAAACAATCTTGAATATAAAAACGGACTATGAATACCGGCCTAAGCTGCTCGAACTTTGTTGAGATCGAGAGGGTAAGGAGTGGGGGAATGGGACAAAAATGGCGCAGACGAGAATACCTGTATCTTTAGTGCTCTAGTTTATATAGAGTTCACTGAATTTATATAAGCATTTAAACATAATAAAAAAATTTTCAATCAATTTTCTTTTATTTAATAAATATTGCTAAAATGCTTTTTTATTCCTTTGTGGTTAAAGTGGTTCTTTTCCGTAAAGTCCAATTCAAAAAGACCACCCATTGTACAACCATACATATGGGTACTATCAAATTCTAGAGAATGTATCTTTAAGCGATTTACATACGTCTAAAAATTTTCAAGAGAGTTAATAATAATTTACTAATAAAGTACAAGATACAAAAAATTTTTAAATAATACAAACTTGAATGGCCACATTCTGTCTCTGATCCCATAAGTGAGCAGCTCTATAATGCCCCGTCATAAAAGTGTACATATTATCTGATGAGCAACACAAAGCGTAATATTTGGGAAAATCCCAACTACGTACAACAAAATTGGATGTTCTGAAATTATAGTACAACAAATATGAAAAAATTGAAAGCTTAACTAGTATTAACAATAAGATTTATTACCTTATATCTATTTTTTTAATAGAATTATAAAAACACGTGAGAATAGTGTGAGGATTCTCCCATATTAGTTGCACACATCCACTTTCAAAATTTTTATTTATTATCTGATAACTAAAATTTTTTACATTAGTTTGTTGTATATTATTCCAAATATACTTGATTAGGTTAATATGTATTATATTTCTGCAGTTTCATACTTTTTAGAATTTTTGGGTTATCAAACCGTCCTTGTAAGTTATAATTAGAAATGTTATTAAATCGGATGATATAATAGTGTCTATATAAACATAATCAAAGGGCTTGTTTGTTTTAGCTACACTGGGGCTGCTCTGGTTCTGCTCTACACAGGATAATACAGGACAGATAAATAGTTTGTCCTGTATTATCTTGTTTAGAGCAGACCCAGAGCTGCCCCAGTGCAGCTAAAACGAACAAGCCCAAAGAGTACGTTTACACGGCAACGTTAATCGAGTTTCATAACTACGGATCTTACTATACCCAATTGAGATTGACGTGTTAATGTAGTCAATGTTCAATCGAACATTTGTAGAAATTGATTAATTAATTGAAACATAACTTACCTTTTATCAATATCGTAAATTAGAAACGACGACTTACAAATATATCTATATATGGAATTAGCCGCAAATTTTGTTCTTATAGGGTCAAATGAGATTGATTTTATATAAGATGAGACGTCTCCACAAAATATTTCGTTTTCTTCCGTACAACCTCTTCTATCATTTGTATATTTCAGTATCTACAAAAACATACTTTTTACATACTACATTAACATAGCATTATTACAATTTTTCTTTAAACATACCTTTATTGAATTTTTAGAAGCAGTTATAATGTGTTGCGATGTTGCGTTTATTTGTATAATTCTAGAATGCACATCATGTATTTTTAAACGTTCCAAAAAAAAGTTATTTTGATCATTCTTAATTTCCCAACGATTAATAACACCATTTCTACAAAAATTTTTGTCAAAAATAAAAAAAAGAAATAAACATAAAACGTAGTTCAAATAAATACTTACATGTCGCTACTTATAATATAATCATCGCAAAGAGCAAAACATTTAATCAAAGCGTTGTCAGTACACAGAATCTTTTTACCCTTTTCAATAGTACCGTTCTTTGCGCGATTATAAGCATGAAGTTTATTGCTATTTGTTCCACAAAACCAAACCGTATTTTTAGTCATTAGTACGCATTTATTATTATTTGTATGATTGATGTAGCCTTCCATTACGTCATTTATTTGTCTTTTTTTATATTTTTTATATATCCAGTTGTAACTTGTAATAAATTTAGAATTTATATCTGAAGATAATAGTGGTTTACATCTGTAAAAAAAATAAGACATGTGTTCTTCAATGTGATCTTATGTAAAATCATAAATATCTATCTTCTGAAAATATATAAATATTGAAATTTATTTTAAAAAGATATAATTAAAAAATTAAATCAAGTTTTGCTAAAAATAAGATAAAAATTGTACCTTAAGATAATTCTAAAGTGGTCTGTTTTACCAATTTCTTTCAAATACACTATACCTTTTTTGACCGTGTAGAATAAAAACTCTTTTTCTGTAATTAAAGTACATATGCTAATACACTACAGACGGTCGATTTGAAAAGATTTTTTAAGCCATGCAGCCAAAAAAAACAAAATTTACGAAAAATAAAAAGTAAAACAGATACTGTATCTGGCTTGAAAAATCCTTTCAAGTCGGCCGTCCGTAGTGTATTAGTATATGTACTTTAATTACTAAAAAGGATTTTTTATTTTACACAACCAAAAAAAGGTATAGTGTATTTGAAAAAAATTGGTAAAACAGATCACTTTAGGATTCCTTTAACGTTAATATT